CCGCCGCCACGTGTCCCCTCTCCCTGATGCCCAGCAGGGCCGTCAGCCCCGTCAGCCCCGCCGCCCCCAGGAAGTAGGAGAGGTGTCCGTGCACAAGCTGCGGGTCCAGCTACAAGAGAAGCAGGAGATGGTTTCATTGCTCTTTTCCGGTGAGGTTTTGCTGTTCGTCGTTTGATTGTCTGAGGACAGCAGACTAACTTGGGGTGTTTACCAGGCAAAGTACGACCCACAGAGACAAGCTATCTATAAACTATCTCTACCCTAATAACAAGCTGACACAGAATGAAGCAAAGACAGTATTTCCATAGTTTTAGGAAAAGTTCTTAAACAAAGTTACTCACAAAAACTTAAATTATGGAAGTGTCATAAAAGCAGTTGGGAGATCAGAAGTTCCCAAACAGTGAAGTATCCCTCTGTTAGCACAAAGGATAAAATAGCACCATTTTGTGAAATACTGTGACTGCAGAGGGTCCTAAAGGAAGGAGTTTTTTGGAAAGTGTACATTCTTAAACTACAAACATTTTCTGTGTTATGAGGATGATCAACACAACATCCCTAATGCATTGTTACCTCTGCACTTTCAACTTCATATTGAATACACTTTCTTCTGTGGATGTAAAATCTCTAGTAAAAGCAATTACTAATATATTTAACTCAATTTATTTCACTAATATACATCTAAAGCCTTTTATGTATTATGACTCCACTCTCATGGATCAGTTCTACTAGAATTAGAATAATTAAAACAGTTAATCAACAGAAGCAGCTTCAGGGGAACATATTAAAAAATCCCACAACTGAAGCAACACCAACGTGTCTGGTAACCAACAAAAGCATTTATATTTTTCTTTGTTAAGAGAGAAATTGATACAGATTTTGCCACCTGTCAATTCATCTGCCTTTTGAGACCTGATTGCTCTAATCACTTAGGCTTGTTCTTGACTAGGAAATAGTATCATTAGCTGCTATTTAAAAAAAAGTTTAGGAAAATAAAATAGTGTCAATCTGGGCTTTGCATTTACATTACCTTTTGTAACAAGCTTCCATCTAGAATGGCCACTGTCTGCCAGGGCCAATTAAAGGAAGCTACAAAGTCTCCTTCAGCAAGGTTATGGTGCTTGCTCTCCAGCACAACCCCAACGCCTCCACCGTCAGCAACCTCCGAGAGCTGCCAGGGCAGGAGGTAATCTGAGCCCGTGTCCTCGTTCATTCGGCACCGCTGAAAGACAGGCTCTAATGAGAGGCTCTGGTGGTTCACATGGATTGTTTAGGAGCTCAGATGAAGTCAAGACATGTTTAAAACCTCAAACACAAAGGGCTACTCAAACTCTTTTGATAAACCTCAAATATTAATCATCTTATCTTAGATCCCCCTCTCCCATCTTGTTTGCTCAGTACAAAAGGAGGATGAAGCATTCTGATTTCCTCCAGCAGTGTTACCAAAGCCAACATATTCTATAGACATCAAAGTGAGCCATGCAGCTGAAGACAACTGGCTCAGGTCTGATAAGAATCCTATGAATGCCATTCCTTAACTTGATGAATCATAGAAATATAAGATTGAAAAAAAACACCCACAAGTCATTTAGTCCATGCCTATGCACTGAAGAACAGTTAGATCTATGTAGACCATCCCTGACAGATATCAGTTTAATGAAACATTTTGAAATCTGAAGTCTTTTTCTTCATATCTCCCCCAGTTGCCTGAGTTAGTACTTCAGGATTTCTAAACTCTTCCTTAATCCCCAAGCTAAACCTACTTCCTGAAATAGAGACTGTTTCTTTTCTACTATCTCCAACTATGCAGGGAACAAAGGATCAGAATTCTCTTTATAGCAAACCTGTACATTCCAGCAGACTGTGTCCAGCTGACTCTCCTCCCACCTTCACCCTCCTTTCAACTCACAACTCTCCCAACCACACGAGGTCTACAGGTTTGCAGAGTTAGGTGCAAGTGCTGGTTATGGCTACATTCACTAATCCTCTCTCCCTCTCTCTGTTTGCACTGTTTACGAAGTATTGACAGATTTTTGTCCTGCCATCACCAACTTAAGGAGAAAATCTGGCTGTCCTTTGTAAACAAAATTGTAATAGCTAAATAACATTTAATGTGTGTTGTCTAGAATTTTTTTTGCCTGACCATGTTCCTCTCTTGCTTCATCATGAAATATTCTTCTTACCCTACCCACACTCCCATCCATTGAAAAATACTTCCTTCCATAGGAAAAGTTTTAAAATGTATATAAAAAAGACAAAGTTCAGAAAAAGCTGATACAACCAAATCTGAGGGCTCACAGTCTCTTCCTGTCCCTATCAAGTCACATTCCTATATCTATATCACAGGCACATTAATGACAAATCCCTTCCCAATATAACTCCATCAGAATGAACAGAATTACTGAGTTATTCTACTAGATATATTTGCCCTGTAATTGGTAACTTTGGTGTTAAACACCATGATAGGTACAGAATTGAAGATATTTTGAAAAACAAATTCTGTCTTAGGTCCAAGTGCATCACATACCATGTAAGGATCCACAGAGAGATGAAGTGTCCTGACACGCACCTGTCCTGCCTGGATCGTGTCTGCTATTGTGCTTTGCTCCAGCCGGAAGTTTTCAGCCACTGGCACTCCGTTCTTACCTACAATTATTTTAAAATCCAACAAATGAATGAATGAAGAGCTTCCCTTAACTCATATGGGAAGGTCCTTTTTAGAGTAAATTAGGCTGTATCTTCACTCAGGTACAGAACTACTGACCAGCTTTCAGATTCCGTGTCACAGCCCACGATTTAACTGGGTTCACTGCCACCATCCCAACTGAAGACCCACTCACCTGTCAGCTTACACTCACCTGGGCCAGTACCAGGCACCTGCACTGACTGACACCTGCCATTCTCTTTGCTACAAGTGATTTTTATGGACAATTAGGGGGGGAAAAAAAAAAAGGGGGGTGGTGAGGGTGGGAGGAAGGACATTCCTGTTCTTAAAAACACGGTTCTGTGTACCCTGTGTACTGGAAAGCCCTGCACTTTCAAAACAAAGACATGCACTGGGACTCCTCTCACATAACAAAACCATCATGCACTATTTTGCCAGTAGCAAATGACCATAAATTTTAACCACGTAAGTTTTAAGCTCTCACCTTTCAGTCTCTTCTGACTCGGTGAGATTTGGGGAATACAGACCCTTGCCACTGCACATGCATATGCTGCAAGAGCATCCCCTCACACCTACGGGTAGAACTCCTTAAATGAAAGCTTCCCAGAAACATCTGTACAACATATGCCAGTAGCCCAGAACTGGAGGCTTCAACCTCAGGCCGGCACCACATGCCAGTCAGATGCAGATTAGACTGATAACTGGAACCACGAGCACCAAAAGGAGAGAGACAGACACCCAGGTGTGTTGCAGGTCAGAGTGACTGGGTGACCACAAGAGATCAGTGCCATAACATTCCATTTGCATTAGCAAAGGCTTATTGGCAGGTCACACCGTAGTTCTCTTACCTCTTAGGACTACTTTGGCACAGAGCAGCAAACAATACTCCCCAAAAACTTAATGCACACTTAATGTGGGTCTTCTGTAACAGACACTTTATAAACTCACTATTCGAAATACTGTGCTGACACCCCTAATAAGGCAAATGTATAAGCAAGGAACTAAACAAATCCTCCAGAGTGCAAGCTTAAAAAACAAACACTTTGAAACATGGGAGGAAGAAAAAAGGCAATATTTACAAAAAGGAGGCAAAAATTAATAGTGACAGAATATTTTAGTCTCCTCTTAAAATGCAAAAAGAACAAATGTCAGAACTAAAAAGCAATGCTTGCCAACCTTTCTTCGCTTTGAGTCCCTACAATAAGGGTTTTCTTTTCTATATTACACATTAGTCCTTTTTGTAATCATCCAAGAGCTTAGAAATCTGTATATACAGACTAAATAAACACACCTCACAACCAACCTTATTAATTTGTGCATGCAATATTAAGAGATATAAATGTCAATACCCTAAGTTAGTGTCTGTTTCTACCCCTAGGCAACCATAACTACCACATTGCTCCTTCACTGGAGAGAAATACATACCAGGGCGTGAGTTCAGCACTACTCTCTGTATAATCATCCCTGCTTATGCAGCAATTCCACACTGGATTTCTACAAAAGAAAACATTGGTTAAAGGACTGAAACATATTTTCTTGAAAAAGAATATGGAGCACAGCACTTTGCAATCTCAAAACTGGGGGTGAAATATGGGCCTCACCAACTTCAGCATCCCAGCCCAAGAATCCTATAAAACAACCTCAGACGTAAAATGAACAAACTTGTGAATAAAGAGTTTTCCTGCTAATCTTGTTAGAGCTCAAATTTAAACAATGTCACAGTAGCACCTTTTGGAAAGATGGAAGATTATCATGTACTGTGCTCCTTGTAAGATCATCACCACCCCCTGCCAGGTTGTAGGAGACACATTTGGTTTGCTTTGCTGTGCTGAGAACATTCTGTTCCCACCTAAAAGACAGCGAGGCTCCTTTGCATGCATGTCAGGTGCAACTCACCAAAAGGCAGCACAAGTGCCAGTAGCAGCAGTACACATGTACAAGATAGAAACACATTTCATGTGAAATATCAAGTCTTTCTATTAGTGGTGTTTTCTCTCCTAAAAAATAGTCAGGCTCAGAGATGAGAAGGAATGAGATCTCAATTTGATTTGCTTGACTGACAAATTTCTCCTTAAATTTCAACAGTTTAGAATCAGACTGTAAATCTGTGTTCTTGCAACTATAAGAAGCCAAAGTGATTAACAGGGAATAAACCCAATTTAGCAGGAGAGAACGTGATCTTATATGCTTTCAGAGCTAATACAAAATAAAAATGTTCTTACTGCTGTGTCCAGCTGAGTACCATGAATAACCAACCTCCACAAGAACCAGCAACATTAAGGAACTAAACATGATAGCTGCTGTCTTTGTCACAGCGTTTATTTTGCTGACAAGAACAGCACATTGCAGTGAAACAAAACAGACAAGCCTAGAAAAATTAAATCACTGCCACTTATCCAACATCTTTCCTGTCTGAACACTGCAAAATACAGAACCTTCTGTCTGAATCTTCTGTTTGAGTGCTCACATTACGGCACTTGCAGACCACCATGAACTACAGCCTGGAGTCCTGAAAAACATCATTTAAAAGTTATCAGGAGAAAATGGGCATATCCCTGGCCCTTCCCTCTCCTCTAAATCCCACAACTGACCCAAACCAAAAGTGTCTTGTTCATAACCATAAAAAGTTTCACTATTTGATTGTGTTTGCACTTGAAAAAGCTACCTATTAGGTAAAAACTATTCAATAATTACTTTTCAGTATTTCAACACCTAAGAGTGCTACAAGAAAAACATCTTAAACATATCTTTTTCAGCATCATATCAGTGAAAAATATGTGACTTGCACAGTTCTTTGGATACAACAACATGGAACATCAGTCTGACACAAAAAAAACCAAAACCAAACACAATACACTTGGATGAAGTTACTAGTCACCATTTATAAATGGAAAATAAGCATTGAAAATACAGGAGTAAACAGTTACAGAGAGAAATAAAAACTACTTTTATACCCAACCAGCTGATACAATCTCTGGAATAAATAACCTCATGTAAAGCCCTAACAGTAAGATGGCCTACAACAGACCAGCAGACCTTGGGTTCAGCACCACACTCAGCTACAGACTTCCTGTGGGATCGTGGGCACATCACTTTGTACTTCTTTTATAAAATACTTTTCAGAACAAAATTCCGAATTCCTCCTGGTAACATTGGCCTAACAAAATTATGTTCAAGCTGTACAGTTGTATCCCCAGAGCAATTGTCTTGGTATCTGAGAATTTGGGCTGATTCAATGAGCATTTTATCAAGTGTCAGATGCACCTGGTGCAATTTAAAAGGACAACCTCTAGTAAGCTATTTGCATGCACACAGAATGTGGCTGAAGTTTTTAACCACTAATCAAACTGTTCTCTGCAGAAATAAAATCACAGGATCATAGAATGCTTTGGGCTGGAAGGGACCTTTAAAGGCCATCTGGTCCAATCCCCCTGCAGTGAGCAGGGACACCCCCAACTAGAGCAGGTTGCTCAGAGCCCCACCAAGCCTCACCCTGAATGTCACCAGGGATGGGGCCTTCACCACCTCTCTGGGCAACATGTTCCCGTGTTTCACCACCTCATGGTGAAGAACTTCTTCTTAATGTCTACTCTAAATCTACCCTGCCTGAGTTTAAAACCAGAGAGATGGCAGAACTGCTGCACAGCTTGTGCCATACAGAAAGGGCTGCTCTCTAAACTCAGTATTTGCTGTCCTGAAACTAACCACCTGCATTATGTAAACACAAAAACCTAGTCTGAAGAAAGGAGATTATGAAAAGCATTTTTGTTGTGTCTAACACATACTTGAAATATCTGCTTTCTATGATACTACAGATTAAAAAAAGAAAAAGAGTTATTTAAAGAAAAAAAGCCAAAGATACAAAGATATTAACGTATTAAAAGAAAGAAAAAGCAACAGAGCAGCAGAGAAAGATAAGAGTGGAAAAAGCACACAACGTGTGCTTCAATTACTTCTTTGAGTGCCCGACATTCCGAGGGAACAAACATGCTGTTGATTTCCCAGCTCATTTTCACAGCTTTCAGTTGAGTGTGCCATGCACCAATTCAGTTTGAAGATCTTCCAGAAACCGTGAGTGGGTGGACAGAAAGCGAGGCTGGCAACTGAACTGTCACTCATTTTGTGACAGCTGTCACAGTAAAATACACCACCAGACGGGCACTTACTCCTAAACATGACTGCACCTGCTCTTGCAGGGTGCAAGTCAGCAACACCATTACATAAACCAATGTTCACGCCGATGTCGTAACGTAGTAAGAAGCAATCGAACTTTCCTCACACTATAAGCACAGCAGTGACTAAAGAAAATAAGTGGAGGCATCATCCTTTAGCACTGTAAGCTGAGGAAGGCTTTTTGAGAAGAATGGACTTTTAAAAGGTGAAATAAAGGGGATCTGTACCATATCCATAATCCTTTCCAATACACACACAGTGCCAGTGTAAAAGTGCATTTTTGACTCGGGTTTTTAAAGACCAACAAGAAGCAATAAGCTCTATTTTTGTTTGGAAAAGCTAAACATTAGTAATCTGAGTTGGCTTTACTCTTTAAATCAAATAGAGTAAAACTCGACTGCAAGTTTTAGCATCATCATTCTATGCCAAGTTCACCCAACCCTCCCTAGAAGGACGAGAGGATCATCAAGCAGCACAACAGCAGCACCTGCAGCAGAGTCTCAAGTATGTTCTACCCCAGTTTTATCCTTCTCCCTTTCTCCCCTTGCTTTTCTTTTCCCATTTTTGCAAAGAAACACATGACAACTCCTTTTAAAAATGTTAAATAAAACTCTCAGTCCTAAAATGCTCCAGTTTGTTTTTCCTGGGCTTGGTTCCTAGAACTTCTTGTTTCTGAGACTGCCCCTAAGACACTGTTACAAATAATTCTGCCAAAACAATTCACCTGCCTGTGAGTTGTTAGAGCCCATGCCAAGTGCAGCTGAGTAAAAAAAAGGATGAGTAGGCAGTTTATCCCTCCTGTTGCAGGCCCATGCAGCACAGAGGAAGAAAGCAGCAAATCTACATGGAGGACAAGTGAGACTGGAAGTCTTTTGAAACTGTGGTGTCAAAATGGCTGGAACGAGGATCCCCAGAGGAAACTCCAAGAAAGAAATTTCAAGGAAGAATGACTCTGAGGAACATGCAGGAAGGAAACTTGGCAAGGACTGGCACGAGGAATCGGTGAGAAGAGAGAAACATGGCAAGAATAGTAACTTAAAGGCCAGTAAAGCAGGGAAAAGAGAAACAGAATGGCGAGAGAGAACTGGAGAAACTAGGAATGAATGAGACTAAACAAAGCAAACAGAGATGGCAATGGCTGGGCAAAAAGAAAAAAAAAATGGTAACTGTAACCAGCAAAGTGAAGTGAATAGAAATGGAAAAGTGAATGTAGTGGATTAGCCACCAAAGTCTGCACCACCACCCCCCAGGAGCTCTGCTTTTGAAGAAAATTAATTAATCGCAAACTCAGTTTTTCAAAAAGCAGAAGCTAGAATTAATACTGTCATGAATGGAGGAAAACACATGCAGTGAAAAGATGCAGTACTTTCATGAGCTGAACTGATAAATCTAGATTTCCCAATGTTTCAGGGCTTGTCACTGAAGTGTCTGAAGTTCTTCCTATCTTGTTTTCTCCATGTGGATTCTCCACCACACTGTGAGAGTCGACGGCAGGATGCAGTCTTTCCCTCAGGAAAAAAACGGGTGGAAAAAGAATGACAATAGTAGTAGGATCTTGATCCAGCCATCTATTTATCCTTTTTTTTTTAATATATTTCAAGAAGCCTAATATCTTTGATCTTCTTATCATATTTGAATGACATACAGAATAAAAGATCCAGTAAGTATACCCAGTCATATTATACACAAAAGAGAATTGTATAAATTTTGCTTTTTCAGATCTAGGTGTCAAAAAAGCTGAAAGGTCTCAGGTACCACCTCTTGAGCTTTTTTTATTTTTTTAATAAGTAGTTACATTGTATTGGAGCTGCTAAGAATTGTCTAAACAATACTAATGCAGAAGGCCTATTTTTCCTTAGCAGAATTTCAAGCCAGGAATGAAGATGAGAATGCAGATTGCTCCCAGAAGGAGCACCACTTCAGCAGAAGCACCTGATATTTTTCTGAGAAGCCTGTGAAGCCATTCGCAGGCTCCCACACAAGAGCAATCCCAGACAGTGCACTGATTATCTACTTTCCTAGGTATGACTCAAGACCAAGTTAGAAATCACTGCTGGCAAAGGTGGAAGAGGTGCTGGAGACTATAGAATCATAGAACCATGAAGGGTGGAAAAGACCTCTAAGATCATTAAGTCCAACCACCAACCCAACACTACCATGACCACTAAACCATGTCCCCAAGTGCCACATCTAGTTTTTGAGCACCTCCAGGGATAGTGACTCCACTACCCTCCCAAGCAGCCAGTTCCAATGCCTCACTGCTCTTTCAGGAGATAAATTCTGCCTAATATCCAATCTAGAACTCCCCCAGTGCAACTTAAGT